GCTAGTCCACAGTTTAGTTACTTGAATTCAGCAGAATTCACAATGTAGTCCAATAATCCATAAGAGTAGGGAGTTATCACCTCAACTGGTAATTGTCTGAAGTTGTTGACTAGAGCCTTTTACAGCTCAGTATATAAATATAACTTTACTTTTAGTACCACGTAACACTTTTCTGCTGGAAGGTTAAGACCAATTTAAAGATAAATTTAAGTAACAAAAAATGTAACTTGCTATCTGACAAGGTCAAGCTAAATCCCCTCAGGATTTACCCTGAACCATGTACAGCACCTTGTGGATCTTTGGCAATGTCAGGCATGTGGATGAGTCACAGCTATTGCTTGACCAATTTGCTCTCTGTGAAAGCCTGAGAGAATGTTTTCTCTGCATATGACTCTCCTTATGCCCACTGAATTGTCGATCACGTTTGTCTGTGGCCCCATAATCTCCTCGATCAGAAAATTTGAGACAGCACGGAGTTACAAAATGTCACAGCAGAGGTTCACTTATGTCCTGAGTCCTCACTGACCTTGAAGGCATAAGGCCAAAATGACAAAGAGAAGGAGGAGCAAAATGCAGTCTCAGGTCCTGAGCCCACTCAAAACAAATGCAGGAGATACTAGCCTATACACTTATAACTCAACATACTTCATATTAATGAAAATGTTTTAAGCTTAAACCAATGTGAATTTTCATAAAATTAAGATTCTCACAATGTAGTAATTGTTGATAATGTTCTGAAACAAGGCAAATAAGGGCAAGGGAGAAAAACTTCTGAGGCTTAATTTTTCCTACCAATTGTCTTTGTGTGCTTGCTAAATGGTGTCCGTTTCTGGTTAACCATGTTATTAAAATCTATTTAGTGCAAAGATTTCCAAAAATATAAGACATAGTCAAAGTTTTCAAGGATGAATTAGTTCATCCTATAAATAAAAGGCCAATTGTCACTGAGAGAGGCAACCAATCTCAAACATAAAGAAATATGAGCAAAAAAAAATCTTACTCTACAATGCAGAGATTTTCTTTTTCCCTCTCTGTCTTCAAAATGGAAGAAGTTTCTTAAGTACTTATTTGTCAGCTTCCAAAACTGTTCCATAATTAAAGCAAATTGAAAATTTTAGCATGTCTCCTTTAAGTCCCAGTCATTTCTCTTGCAGCATGTGACTAATAGTTCCCTTCCTTTCTTCTCATGAAAATTTTTCCACTAACCACTGAAACTACAACAGCACCTGTAATTATTTTTCAATATTATTCCAACTAAGTGCCAAAAATTGGCAACAAAACTATCAATATTTTAAACAGGACAATGATCTGAATAATCAACATGCTCTCCAAAAAGTAGCATAGTAAAAGGCAAATAATTAAAAAGAATTGTCAGGAGATCCCAAGATTCTTTCTGATGGCAGCAACCAGTGCCATAAATTGAGTTCTTCATGAGTGAGATGTGAGCAGAGGGTTTTCTATTTAAAGTGTGTGAAGAGGGTGAATACTGTGCTTCTCTGTGTGGAGGATTTTCTAGGGAGTCTCTCAAGAATGTGCTTCCATACAGCAAGGACAGTGAGCAGCAGCAGGGTCCCCAGTAGCATGGCTCTGCAGGAAGCCTGTGCTCCAGCTGAGCACACCTCACCTTACCAGGGCCTGTTGACTGCTTCGGGCTCTGGGCCTTGCCCGCCTTGTACACACCGTGCTGAATTACCCATGTGGGGCTGCAGATGTGCGGCACTGCGGGCCCCACAGCTGGTCCACCTCAGAGATGTTTTACGGATTCAGGGCGCGGGTGCGCTGTCTATGTGCTGCAGGGAGCTGTGTCGCATCAAAGGCATAACACCTCAGCCACGGCACTTTCACTGCTATAGACGTGGGCGCCCAGGCTCTGCCGTGATGCCCGTCAACCGAGGAATGGATTAGAAAGAAGCGGCATTTCTGTACACTTGAGTGTCACTCAACTAAGAAGAAAGACATACTCACTACTTTTATATGTACATGGGCACAACAAGAGGCCAGATTCATAAGTGAAATAAATCAGACTGCAAGGGTAACTATCATGTTGTCTCCACAGTGTGAGAACCTGAAAGACTAAATAAAATCTGAAAGGTACAATAGATACTGTGAAAGGAAAAATATTTCTAGGGAAAGAAGGAAAGAAAGAAAGAGCATAAAAAATAACACACAAGCAGGATATATATACATATATATATATATATATATATATGTAATGCTTATTTTTTTATTTGAGCAATTTTGCATGCTTATATCTGGTAATCTGAACGACTGCTTTGAAGATAACAGTAGGCAATGCAACAAACACTGTTGATTTCCTGTCATCTTGTTTCCACATTTTCTCTTATTTGTGTTCTCTTTAGAATAAAATGCTTAAAAAATAAGTTAAAAACTCATGTAGAAGCAAAGCAAAATGCAAACAAATACCCATGCACAGGGAGTATGATTTTACAAATAGACTAAGCAGTCCCGGGACGATTCTGGGGGCAGATGAGCCGGCGCCCGTGACCCATGCCCAGCCTGTGCCTCCTGCGCTGATCACAGCTGCATTTCGCTCCTGACCCAGCGTTTGCCTGGAGCTGGGTCGCTCGCTCGCAGGTCCGGCCTTGGGCAGGTGAACGTGGCGGGAAGCTCAGCAGAGCTCCACGGACTTCACCTCCTGATCCTGCGGTCCGGATCACTTGCGTTCTGGGTTGCACCCCGCCTTCCACACTCCGTCCTCGGAGTGCACTGGAACTGCCCAGCGGGGCCAATCTCAGAGCAGAGTCTCCCCGTCTCGCTCTCTCTTTGGGGTTCACCAGCTGCAGAGCATTCTACGTCCTCTCTCCATCAGAGTGAACAAGCGGTTCAGCGGCCAGCTGAGCCCGCTAGCTGCTCAGGTCAGATTCTGCACTCTATTTGCATCAGCTGCTCAGGAAGGAAGGGTGCAAGGGGCGGGCCGAGGAGCACCGAAGTCCAGGACGAAGGCAGTTTGCGGCTCTGGACGCGCAGGCTGACCAGTCTTTTCAACGGTGAGTAGCCGAAAATGAGAGCGCTCCACACGGACTCTTCTCTGCAGTGAGGAGCGCGGGCGTGAGCTCCTGGGACTCTGCTGCTTCTCCGCCTTGGCTGGAAGGGGAGGATTCCTGCCTCCAGGTTGCGCTGAGCACTTACCAAGGACTTGGAGACTTGAGGTGGATTCCTACACGAATATTTGTTTTTGCTCCCAATTTGGGCATCCCCTGAGTGAGACGATGTAACATTTTGACAGGAAAAATATTACTGCCTTTTTCACTTATGTTATTTAGTATGAAACTCATTATGATGAAAAAGTTTTATTTGAAAAGAATTTTTAAAAGCCCCCCCCCTTTTGTGGCGTTCTTTAGTTCAACATTTTACCTAGTCAAGGCAAACGCTCAGTCTCAACCATCGTGTTCATGTCACTTGTTCACTACAGACCTTCGAGTCTGGAATGTCATGGGCCCCAAGGGTGTCACCAGTTACCCTTCAGCCACAGGTTGGGTAAGGAAGGCTCTTCCCTATTCACTTTCTACAGTTTTCTTTTCATCCGTTGTCACATAACGCAAGATTTGCTAAAAGTGCATTGATATGAGCAGAAATCATTGTTTACAAAGAGTTAAAAACCTGAATTGACATTTTCCACATGTCATTTCTACACACTAGGAGGCACTTTACAAGACAACTTCTGTGGGATCCAAACAGGCAAATCCTGGGTCTCAGTCACAGAAATTGCACACTCTACTCAATTCTTTCTGAGTTACCTTCCTGATTATCTAAGAAAATCATTCATTGTTTTTATTATTCTAAGTTACCATACGTACTTTGCAGAAAAAAAGAATTTTTAAAATATGATCAAAGAGTACACAATCAAAATAAATGAACCTGAAAAAAGTAAAATATTTAGAAAGTTCAACTAATCCTGCTAGTGTAAATTAGTTTGCAATAGGGAAGGTGATTCTTCTATTCTGCTAGACTGGACCTTTGCAAATATTTATTGTCATTTGAAATAGCTTAATAATTTTAGTTTATGCAAAAATATAGAATGAAGATATTAATTCTGTAAGTAGTCGTGTTATAAAAGCGACGCACTGCCTTTAGTGCCTGTCCTGCTTCTTGTCCTCACTGAAGTATACTTAGAGCCTTGTCACTTCCAGTGCAGTTCTCAAAACGTCTTTGTGCTGTCATGAGTGATGAGAAAAAATATAGTGAACTCTGAAAAGTGACATCTGATGAGAAAATGAAAAAGTGTGCTTTCCTTCAGCAGGGATGGCACTGCGCACATTACAGCACTTCTTCCTGCTCAGGATAAGTACAGAAGGCAAAGGGGTAGAATTAATTCCAGACATAAAAGGAATTTCACTTAATGACAAGAAAGAGTGAAAGCTGCTCAAAATATGGCACCAAAGATAAGACATGTGCGCCTAAATGAGGGGGAAGATTTTGAGGGGTGTGATGTCAATATCTTTATTGTATTACTTTTCAAAAATTAAATATTCAACAAAATATTTGATCAAACTACATGCTTTGGAACTTTAGAATGATGTCCTCAGTCTCTTTTCCAGTTCTCCATGTAAATGAAATTACATTCTTTTATTAATGATAAACACAAGGTTATTATTGTGGGAGAGGAGAAGGAAGACAAAAATCAACTTGAATACATAATTGCTAGGACACATCTAAACATTTAATCTTTTTTTATTCATAGTTTCACTGTGTAGCTCAGACTCATAGTGATCCCCCTGTTTCACCCTCCCCAGCTTTGGGATTATAGGTGCTGTTTGCTACAGGTTTCGGGGATGGGATGGCCACCTGGTGCTCTGGGGCCAACATAGAATGCAGTGCTGAGGTTAAACTCAGGTCTTGCACTTGCCAGAAAGGCACTTAGACTGCCAAGCTATTTCCCCAGGCCAACAAATTAAATAGTAATGGCGGTTCTTGAGGTCATGGTATAAACTGTTTTCTAGTGGATATTCACCGTTCCAGATAGTGAAGCATAAAATTGCCTACATTTTCACAGCGCAGATCCTCTGACTCTCTCGCCCCAGGGCCCCTGTCACCTTCTTGTTCCTCAGGCTATAGATCACAGGGTTGAGCATCGGGGTGATGATGGTGTAGAACACAGCCAGGACCTTGTCCTCCCCTGGAGATCGGAGGGATTTTGGGCGGACGTAAGTGTAGGCAAACGGGGCATAGTAGAAAGTCACCACGGTGAGGTGGGTGCTGCAGGTGGAGTAGGCCTTCTTCCGGCCCTCCCGAGAGCGCATATAGTAGACTGCACGAAGGACCAGACCGTAGGACAAGAGGGTACCCAGGAAAGGAATCAGGAGAATTAGACTGGCACATAAAGTCAAAATGTACTCATAAACCCTGGTATCAGTGCAGGCTATATTTGACATGGCAGGGACGTTACAGAAGAAATGATTGGTAACTCTGTGCTCACAATATGGAAGGTGAAAGACATACAATGTGTGGGCACAGCCATTGAAAAAACCCACTGCCAGAGATCCCGCAATCAACAGAAGACACATCCTATTGCTCATGCGGACAGAGTAGTGCAGAGGAAAGCAGATAGCTATGTAACGGTCATAGGCCATCGACATCAGAATCAGTGCTTCCGAACATGCTATATTTGAGAAGAAAAAACTCTGAATATAACACCCAATGAAGGAGATAGACTTGTTCCCAGATAGAAATCCAGATGCCATCTTGGGCACAGTGGTGCAGACATAAATGAGATCCAAGAGGGAGAGCTGGCTGAGCAGGAGGTACATGGGTGTGTGGAGGTGGGCGTCCAGGAGGATGAGCAGGACCATGCACAGGTTGCCAGCCAGGGCCATCAGGAAGACTGTGATGGTGAATGTGAAGAGAATAAGGCCAACTCTTGATGGGGGGAACAGGCCCTGGAGGATGAAATCAGTAGAGGTCTGCGTGTAATTTTCCATGCTATATTCCTGTAGCTCCTCCTAAAAACAGTGAGTAAGTATAGGTCATTAGTAACTTGGAAATATTGGCAGTCTAATCACTGATGATTTATTCTAGAATTGTACACCTTTTGTATAAGGAACCAATTTTGAAAAGTGGAATCCTTTTTTGTAGTGTCACTCTACCATTTAATGAAACAACAATTTATTATTTGAAATTTTTAGAGCAAATATAAAAAATTTGCAGATCAATAATATATTTGCTTCATTTTAAATGCTATAAATGGTGTAATGTCTTACTGGAATAAAGTTTATTTTTTAACATAGATGTGGAGCACTTGGCAATCTCTGCATTGTTGTGAGATATAGAATTTATCTTGTCACTGTCTCTCAGACATGTAAAGAACTGAGAAATATCAGCCTGTCCCAAATCAATAAACCAATCCAAAAATGGGCATCTGAAAAGAATACACACCCATAAGAAGAAATAAAGGAGAAAATTTAATGGATAAAAGTGTTCATCATCATTCATCATTTAAGAGATGCAATTTAAAACATTGAGGCCAGATCTGCCCCAGCCCAAGCCCTGTGAGTGTGTGGGAGAGCTGCTGCTCTGTCCTGTGCCCACTGGACCATTCCCAGGCCCGACCCCCGAAAGAGACCTTCCCCTGTGTTCTCCAGACCTAGCCGGCCCCTCCACAGCCAGCCCAACCCTGCCCTGTGAGTGAGAACTTCCACCACACTCTTGGGAGTCCTCCAGATCTGCCAAAGCACAGGCCTGATGAGTGTGTGGGAGACCTTCTGTGCACTCCTGCACCCCATCCCTTAAACCCTTCCAGACCCAGCCTAGGCCTGGCATACAGGACTAGGGTGCAGCTGAAGTACCTAGAGTCAGACTAGGGTCAAAACCACTCAACGAATCCAGAAGCAGAACATCTTGCCAGAGGGGCACAGAAGACTCACCTCTAAGTGTAGCAGCAGGAGGGAGCTGGGCACAGCAGCCAGACCCAAGTCAGGCACAACTGGATGAACTAGAACTGGGTATATCTGTACCTGAATTTTAGTAGGTACTAAAGTTACAGCTGATCAAAGCTCTACAACAATGTCCAGTGGCTAGTGCTCTACAAAAATAACAGAGAGAAAGAGCAAAATTCAATCTCAGATTCCGAGCTCACCCAAAACAAGTGCAGATGACACTAGCACAGATGAAATGTCTGAATTAATAGCATCTGAAGTAAAGAAACAACAGCAGAAAGATATAGAGGAACTCAGACCAGAATTAATCTCTGAAATTAAAAAAGAAATCTATGAATCAATAGTGTTTAATGAAAGGAAACAACAGCAGAAAAGTATAGAAGAGTTAAGATCAGAATTAATCTCTGAAATGAAAAAAATTTCTAAATAAAAAGCATCTGAAATGAATCAAATGCAGAAATATACAGAGGAAATTAGATAAGGAATAAACTCTGAAGTAAAAGAATTGACAACTACTTCTCAAGAATACAATGATAAAAAACAGAGGAGATTAGAAAAGCAATAGATTGCTTGAATGAGCAATAAAGGAAAGAAATAGATCTCATGAGGCGGAGTCAAAGAGATATAGACAAACTTAAAATTTCAATCACAAGCTCGCAAAACCGCTCGAGTGAAAGTGAAGATAGTTTCAGATCTTCAAGATGCTGTCATAGCTAATGAAAAGGTAAGAAAAGATCTCTTAAAAACAACTAGGAAGCAGGAAAAAGTAATTCAACACCTGCAAGACAATGCAAAAATGAATAACATGAGACTAGTAGACATCAGTGAGAAAGAAGGAGTCAATACAAATGATATAAAAAGTATATGGGCAGAAGTAATAGCAGAGAACTTCCAAATATGAGGAAACAACCTCACATGCAAGAAACCAAAGCATACAGAGTGCTAAAAAATTTCAATCCAATTAAAAATACACTGAGACTTCTAACAGCCAAGATCCTAGAAATCCAGCACAAGAACAATATACTGAAAGTCGCTAGAGAAAAGAAATAGATCACATTTAAAGGAAAACCCATCAGAATAATGGCTGACTTCTCTTTACAAACAATGAAGGCAAGAAGAGCATGGAGCAGAGTACTTCAAATCCACTATGAAAATAATTCCAGCTGAGACTACTATACCTTGCAAAAGTCTCTTTCAAGTTTGATGGAGACGTGAAATACTTGCATGATAAAGAACAACTAAAGAAGTTCAGGATGACAAAGCCAACCCTACACAGGTTACTAAAAGATGTACAAGACAGGGACCAAAATGATCAGAACTCCACAAATGAGAACAGAAGGAACAAATGATTAGGCAGAGGAGGAAAAGAGTAAACAAGAGCAGATATATAGCATGTCAAGTGTAATTCAATTTATCTCAATTATAACCATCATTGTAAATGGACTCAATTCACCAATTAAAAGAAATAGACTGGCATAGTGGATTAGGTAACAAAATCCAGCAATATGGTGTATACAAGAAACACATTTAACTTATAAAGACATTCATAGGCCGAAAGTCAAAGGATGGAAAACAATATTGCACACTCCAGCACCTCAGAAAAATGCAGGAGTAGCAATCCTGTTCTCAGATAGTCTCAACTTCAAACCAAGAATGATCAAACAGAATAAAGAAGGCCATTATATACTGGTTAGGGAAAAAATTAAAGAGGAAGATGTAACACATGTATATGCACCAAATACAGAAGCACCCAACTATATAAGACAAATCTTAATGGACATGAAAAATCTGATATCCAATACCACAATCTTAACAAAAGACCTTAACAAACCCTTATCCCAAAAAGATAGGTCAACCAGGCAAAAAAATTAGCAAAGAAATGGCAGAACTGCACCAGAGCTTGGAACAAAGGGACTTAGTGGACATACACAGAGTGTTCCACCAAACAACAGCTCAATACACATTTTTTTTCAGCTGCATATTGGTCATTTTCTAAAATTGAGCACATACTGGTCCATAGGTCATGCTTAACTCTATGTAAGAAAACAGAAATCATTCCAAGCATATTATGTGACCACAGTGCAATGAAACTGGAAATAAATGAGGCAAGAAAACAGAAAAACTCCATAAATACATGGAAATTAAGCAACAATCTACTCAGCAACCAATGGGTCACAGAAGAAATTAAACAAAAAATTGAACAATATCTAAAATTCAATGAAAATTCAAACACAACTTATCAAAATTTATGGGATGCAATAAAAGCAGTTCTTGGAAATTTATAGCTGTGAACTCACACATTAGGAAAACAGAACAAGAAAAAATAAACACCCTCATGTTGCACCTCCAGCATCTTGAAAATGAAGAGCAAACCAAATACAGAGCCGATAGAAGGAAAGAAATCATAAAAAAGAGCAGAAATTAATTTAATTGAGACAAAGAAAACAGTTAAAAGAAATAACGAATCAAAAAGTGGGTTCTTTGAAAGATGAAATAAAATTGATAAGCCCCTGGCTAACCTCATCAAAAAGAGGAAAGAAAAAATTCAAATACAAGCAATAAGGAATGAAAATGGTTTAACTACCACAGAACCAGTGGAAATTCAGAAAATTACCAATAGCTATTTTGAGAACCTTTACTCTCACACAATAGAAGACAAAGAAGTGAACAGATTCCTACAAAGGTAAAAATTACCAAAACTGAATCAAGAAGATACAACAACTCTCAATAGCCCAATAACAGTCAAAGAAATGTGAAATGTAATTGAAAAAAAAAAAAAAAAACATACTGACAAATGAAAGTCCAGGTCCTGATGGATACACGCTGAATTCTATAAGAAATGTAGGGAAGATATAATCCCTATACTCCTCAAACTCTTCAATGAAATTGAAAAGGAAGCAATCCTCCCAAAATCATTCCTGGAAGCAAGTATTATACTGAAACCAAAACCAGGGAAAAATGCAACTAGAAAAGAGAAGTACAGGCCAATTTCTCTCATGAACATAAATGCAAAAATCCTCAGTAAAATCCTAGGAAATAGAATACAACAAATCATCAAGAAGGTCATACACCATGATCAGGGAGGATGCATACCAGGGATGCAAGGATGGTTCAATATGCACAAATCTATAAATGTAATACACCATATCAGGAGAGCAAAATCTAGAAACCACATGATCATTTCAATTGACACAAAAAAGGCTTTTGACGAAGTCCAACACTAATTCATGTTCAAAGTCCTACAGAAAATTGGAATACACAGCCTTCACTTCAATCTGATAAAAGCCATCTATGACAACCCAACAGCTAATATAATTTTCAATGGGAAATACTGAAACGTTTTGCTCTTAGATCTGGTACAAGACAAGGATGTCCTCTATCACCCCTCCTATTCAAAAACTTTTCTGGAATCATTAGTTAGAGCCATTAGACAAGAGAAAGAAATAAAAGAAATAAGAATAGGTAAAGAAGAAGTTAAAGTATCATTATTTGCAGATGACATGATAATTTACTTGGAAAACACAAAAAACTCCACCAAGAAGCTACTACAATTAATACACAAATTCAGTTGCATAGCAGTATACAAAGTCAATACCCAAAAGTCAGTAACATACCTCTACACAGATAACAAACACCCTGACAGGGAAATTATAGAAACAATACCTTTTACAATAGCACCACAGAAAATGAAATACCTTGGAACTTGTCTAAATAAAGAAGTTAAAGATCTTTTCAAGGAAAACTACAGTTCTCTAAGAAAAAAAAAAGGGTGGGGGATCATAGAGGATTTCAGAAAATGCAAAAATATTCCATGCTCCTGGATAGGAAAAAACAACATTGTGAAGATGGCCATACTCCCAAAATTGCTGTACAGATTTAATGCAATCCCTATCAAACTACCACCAACATACTTCCCAGACCTAGAGAAATTGTTCCTAAAATTTATTTGGAACCAGAATAGACCTAGAATAACAAAGGCAATCCTGGCCAACAAAGACAAGGCAGGAGGCATCATAATTCCTGACAATAAAGCTACTGTGATAAAA